CTTCCCTTCCCAGCCTCACATAATTATATATTTAATCATCCATATGCTACTTTCTTTTTCACAATATCATTTTCCCAACCACGCTATTCTTAACTGGGGAAAATAATCGTTTAATCTAAATAATTCTAATTAAGTTATAATTTAATTTTTGAATTTCAACTCATTGAACTGAATTTCATAAATTTTAGTAATTTTGTGTCATGACATTGTCAAAAAAATCATTTAATTTTTAAGGATCGAATTTAATTGAGACATAAAATGTTTGAACCAATAGGTTCAATGGTTAAAATTTGAGGAACTAAGTTGCACTAATTTAAACTTGAAAGAATTAAATTATAATTGATTCAAAATTATATAGATTATGCTCCTTTCATTTAAAAATATAAGATATTTTTAACTGAATCTCACCTTTAATAAAGTAGTTACCTACTTTCAAACTAACCATATTTTTTTATATTTATTCCTATTAAATACCTTATAATAAACATGAAATTATTCATCAATAGAGACACTTAAGAAAAAACAATGATTATATTTTAAAAGATTAAAAATGTCTTATATTTTTGAACATGTAACTCATTAAAAAATGCATTAAATTTTTGAATGGAGGGAGTATATGATTAATTTTACCTTCTTGATTTAATTAATATCATTCTTTATATTTTATCTTTTATCAATTGCGTTAAAAAAAATTTAACGGTGGATATAATATATTTCTATTTTCTTTACTTTTTTATGTTTTATATGAATATTTGTTCTTATTCCATTAGCCATGTTATTATTTTAGATTTTACTTTTCCAAGATTGAAATTTATGAATCTATGTGAATTTTTTGATATTTTTTTCCTCATTTTATTACTTTTTATAAAGTATAAAATTTTATTTCTCTTCCATAAGAAGGCAAATTTCATGACTAACAAACGTTGGGTTTAGTAAGAGAGATTTTGACTGCTTAAGCATGAGATTTTAAATTGTGTCTTTTGTGAATGTAAAAATTACTATTGAAGGAACGACTCTCAATTAGACTTGATAATATTTGAATTTAACCTAGTGAGATGACCATATATATATATATATATATATATAAGGGTAAACTTTATAAAATTTACATGTTTTCAACATCAATGGATTCATTTCATATTATTTTATTATACATAGTGGCATTATACTGGAAAAGGAACATTGATATATATATATATATATATATACTAAAATGAGAATCATGCTAAATATTTCATTTTTGAGCAACAACATTTTATGAAGTATAAATTGAATTTTGTCACAAAACACTACTTCCAAAAAAATCCAACATTAATATCCCACAATATTTTCTTCATTTATTTTTCCCGGCTAACTACATTATTATTGATTTAATTATAATTATTGTTATTTTTCATCAATCACATTTGAAAAATATGGTGGGCCTCATACATTTTCATACAACAAGTTTATAAGCTCGCTAAAAGCCTGGCTTATATCGTTTTAAAAAATAGGAATGCACACACACACACACACACACACGTATGGGGAAAACTATCCCTATTTGGGACCTTATAATACTCAACTTGACTCAATACATTGAATGTAGATATTATAAAAATAGAGAGATAATTATATGAAGTTTTAATTTAAGTAATATAAGAACAATCAAGTATGCATTGACTTGTGCCTTACAAAACAAGAAAAGAGCGAGGGGAAGGATCAGCAAAATTGTGCAATGAGAAGAGAGTTTATTTGTTGGCTTCATTAACAAGTTGGGCAGCGATTGGAAAAAGAGAAACAGTATAGGAGCTTGGTGATGCCAGTTGAGCGTCAATAAACAGTGAGTGAGACTTTGAGTGAGATTATTTGTGTTTAGTTTTAGTGCTGAGTAATTTGAAAATTTGGACCGTCCATATTTATCATTTTTATTTAATATTTTATTTTATATTTATTAAAATAAAAATATAAAATTTTAATTAATATGTCTTATAATCAATTTAGACAATACAGATTTGATCTGAATTAACTAATTTAATATTAATCCTTTTAAAAAAATTAACATTAAATTGGAGCATTTAACTTGAATTTATATTATATCGATTAATAATAAAATGAATTTATTAAAATTTCATAATTTTTTTATAATAAATATAAAATAAAAAAATCTATCAAGTGATGAGCACGATACACCAAAACTGAACCCAATATTATTTTGAGTGATATTTGAGATTTTATGACCAGGAAGTAGCCCCTCATCAATGAGCACCATACGTTGTCGTTTAACGGGTAGATTTCAAGGCCCTAAAGTCAGTTGCAGATGAATTTGCGGTGAGGAATGCTCAAGTGCTGCAGGTTCAGCTCAATTATTTTTGTGCTACTTGCAATCATTCACGCTTTCACCATCCTCGTGGACTCCACCACCCTATCAAAGGTATTCCATGACACTGATTTTATAAATTTTAAGCTTCACCACACTTTCACACTACTAAGTTGGATTTATAATTTTAATTTAATTATAATTTAATTTTTAAATTTTAATTTATTTAATTTTTTTAAATTTTAATTTATTATAATTTAATTTTTAAATTTTAATTTATTATAATTTAATTTTTATAATTTTAATTTGATTGTAATTTAATTTTTAAATTTTAAATTTTATAACTCAATTTTTATAATTTTAACCATTTAAAATATTAATCTCTATATTTTAAAATTATAAAGAATTTTACTCTTTATAATTTTAATTTTTAAAATACAGGATTTAATACTTAAATAATTAAAACTATAGATATTGAGTTGTAATAATCAAATTTTAAGAATTGAATTATAACACAGTTAAAAATATAAGGATTGAGTCATGACAATTTAAAATTTATGAATTGAGTTATAATTGATTAAATTTATAAGGATCAAATAATTAATTTTTTTATTAAAATTAAAATACTGAAAATTGGACTGGTTGAGGGGTGGTTTAAGGCCAAAATTATGGTTAAAAAAGAAGACAAAAGGGAGCATGTTTGATGTTGGGTTTGCCAAAATTGTAATTTGGGTACAATCCGTTTGCAAATATAGTTTCAAACAAAAATTGAGGTTAGTCGAAACTAAAGTCTGCCAAAACTGAGATTGGTCAGAAGTATCTCCATACCTATTTGGTTGTGTTGCTGAACTATTTCTTTTCCTTCTGATATAAAATAATCAATCTGAACTGTTCTATTAATCCAGACAATCGAAATAATTCAGGAAAAAAGCTGGCCTTCAAATGCACTTTAATAGCAGCTAAGAAATTCTCATACACACTCGAGGGTGCAATGATTAAAAGTAGATTTGTTTGGAGAATTCACACACACAACTCAATTTGAATCGTTGAAGTTACATTCACAACTAATGTTCATGAAATAATTGCTCCATAGACCAAATGGACGAGTTAAAATTGATCCATCATCATGTCACTTTCTTCCATGGAAATACAAGCTCCCTTTCGAGCCATGTGTGCCGTTCACTTGGAAAAAATTATATTTATTTTATAAATATAAATTTTATAGATATTTTATACTCCTTATCTGGATATTTTAAACTTTAAATCCATTTCAATCTCAAATAATAATGAGCTAATTATTTAAAAATTCTAGAATATTAAACCATGCAGAAAAAATTATAAAATCCAGAGTTTTACTATGTGAAACACAAATTTAAGATCTCAAAATAAACTAATTTGACCTTCTGAACTAATTAAGTGTCACTAGATATTAACATACTTTCTTCCATTAATATTTAATGAAATGAAAGGGGGAAAATATAATAAAAAAGTTAACGATCAATAAAATTCTTCCATCTTTACTTTATAACTAGAATAGGAGGAATTATTTTCGTAGCATTATAATTAATTAATTAACTAATATGCATTTGCATTATTGAAGAGAAACTTCCACATGAAAATAATGTGGACTTTGAAGAATCATCTCAGGCTTCTGCGCGTTGAAAGTTCAAGTCACCATGCAAGATTTTTGTTGACTGTTAGCAATTAAGAAGTACAAATTGTCTACGATCCTCCAGAAACAACAAGGGCTTGGCTTTGGCGTGTATTTCAAAAGATCAATGAATAAATTTTAATAGACAATTATTATTATTTATTATTTATTATTATTATATTAATTTAGTTCAGTCTATACCCTTGATTTTAAAAAATATCAAAGATATAAAATGATTTTTCGAAAAAATAAACGAATGGTAACATGATAGTTTAACTGGTTTAAGACCTTAATCAATAAAAATATCTAGTACTAATTTTGTGATCTTTGAAATTTCAACTAGAGAGAATTTCAAATAAGAATCAGGGATATAATATAATTACTAATATATCCAAAAAAAAGTTTAAAATTTCAATTCAGATAAATGTGAAAATAATTTCAAATGTAAAAATATCAAAGTATTTTTCACTTATTATGTAAAATTACTAATTGTTAATTTTTTTTACTTCACTTATTAATTTACTAATATAAATTATAAATTATATGAGTTAACTTGTCAATAATTATATAAAACTTGACATCAATTGTTTAATCATAAACAGCAACAACATCAGTTATTAAATTATTAACTTTACTTATTAATTTACTAACATCAATTATAAATTACTTATAAGTCTTGTAATTTATGATTGATGTTAGTAAATAAATGAGTAAATTTAGTAAATTAATAATTAATATTACTGCTTGTCTGACGATCAGATGTAATTTACAAGTGACATTGGTAAAATAACATATAAAATAAGAAAATTAATAATTAATAATTTTACATAATAAGTTAAAGATATTTTGATTTTTTATAGTTAAATTATTTTCATTTTTATCTCTAATATTAAACTAAAATTTTAAAAATTTTTGAAACCTACTGATAATCATCTCACATTCGTCATGCTTGTTTAAAATTCTCCCTTTCAATTGCTATTAGTTGTTACCAACAACGAGAGTTTGACATGCCACCTCCCTTTCTCCTCTATAAATTCTGCTCCCCGCCTTCTTCCCCGGAAAGAAAAACCATTTTCTCCTTTCTACACCTTCTTTCCTTCGCTTTCTCTTCGATTTTCTCACCGTTCATTCTTTCCAAAGCTCAGAACCACTTTTCCCTCATCACCATTGCTTAAAGTTTTGAGCTTTCCGTATTGTGATTCTTCCGAATCAACCCCATCAAGCAGATTCTCAGATACCCATTGAGCTATTTCTGTATTCCTTGCGCATTACGCTTAAGCTAAATCTAACCATTCATAATGATCTCTTCAATCAAGCACACAACACCTTCACTGAGCTGCTCTGCTTTCTCAGCAAGCAGAAAGCTTTCTGTTCCAAGGCCTCATTTTTACACCCTGCCTGTTATTCAGAATGCTCGGCAAAACCCAGAAACTGAATCTTCCATCTCCTCCCAAAAACCCCTTTACATTTCATCAACTAAGAGCTTCACATTTCTGGCAAATCCCAGAAGGAAGGTTTCAGAATGCCAAGCCTATGAGGCAGAGAGGTCGCGACCAATTGAGATTAACATTGAACTTCCTGATGAACAGGCTCGGATGGAGACAGCTCAGAAACTCAAGATTGGCTTGTATTTTGCTACTTGGTGGGCTTTGAATGTGGTGTTCAATATTTACAACAAGAAGGTTCTGAATGCGTTTCCTTACCCATGGCTTACTTCCACTCTGTCTCTGGCTGCTGGTTCTCTTATAATGTTGATCTCATGGGCCTCCAGGATCGCTGATGCCCCCAAAGTTGATTTGAATTTTTGGAAGGCCCTGCTGCCCGTAAGTCTGTCTTCTTCTTCTTCTTCTTTTTTTCAAATTTCTTGATTGACACGCAATCACTCATAGTACAATTATCTGCTCTGGAAGTAGTAATAACTAAGAGGTTATAACAAACCTGTCATGAACTGTCTCTAATAGCCTTAAGCTTATGAGTTTGGAAACAAATTGGTAGAAATCCTGGGGATTACCATAGAATTTAGAATAAGTTAATCATGACCGTTCATGCAGGCATGTCAAAATCAATTTTTGGGAGATCCACATATTACTGTTAATATTAAATAACTCGATAGCAATAGCTCGAAGATGAAGAACCTCTAAAGTTTTGTCCTTTCCCATTTTGGAGTCTAACCTTTGAAAAATGACACCTCAGAGACACTTTCTGTGTTCGTGGCCATCAAAACGGTGGGCTTGATGGTAAGGAAATGTGATATAGAACTCACTGAGGGGAAATTGGGGTTGCAGGTAGCTGTGGCCCACACAATTGGGCATGTCGCAGCAACTGTGAGCATGTCAAAAGTTGCAGTTTCATTCACCCACATCATCAAGAGTGGAGAGCCAGCTTTCAGTGTCCTGGTCTCAAGTCTTTTGCTTGGAGACACATTCCCTATGCCAGTTTACTTGTCACTGATTCCAATTATTGGTGGTTGTGCACTTGCAGCAGTGACTGAACTCAGCTTCAACATGACTGGTAGGCAGTTAATTGTCAACAAATCTGAAACCGCGTTTTATTACATGTTTCCATATGATGTTGAGCTTGTGATTCTGATCCCATTTGTTTCAATGCTCAAAGTACAAAACTTTTGGTTTCAGGTTTTATGGGAGCTATGGTATCAAATTTGGCATTTGTGTTCAGGAATATATTCTCGAAGAAGGGAATGAAGGGGATGTCAGTTAGCGGAATGAACTACTATGCTTGCCTTTCAATGTTGTCCCTATTGATTCTCACACCTTTTGCCATAGCTGTGGAAGGCCCCAAGATGTGGGCTGCTGGCTGGCAAACAGCCTTGTCCCAGATCGGTCCCAATTTTGTATGGTGAGCAAAACAATCTATGAGTGTCTGAGCCTTGTTTATTTTCTGCAGCCCCTAATCACCTAACATGGGTTGAACTTTGTTCTACTCTCGGCTGAAATGAAACTTTATCAGTTTTCTTCATTATTGTCAGCATAACAAATGGGTTCTGGTTTTAATTTTTACAGGTGGGTGGTTGCCCAGAGTGTCTTCTACCACTTGTACAATCAAGTGTCTTACATGTCTCTTGATCAAATATCTCCCTTGACATTCAGTGTTGGAAACACAATGAAGAGAATCTCTGTAATTGTCTCCTCTATCCTTGTCTTCCACAATCCAGTTCGACCCATCAACGCCCTTGGGGCTGCCATTGCAATTCTGGGCACCTTCCTCTATTCACAGGTGATCTGTCACCTCCTCTGAAGCTGCTGATTTTGATTCCTTGATACCCTGCAGATATCATGGAAAAGATTGCTCAAATCTCTCAACAGTAGAAAAAACCCTAGAAATTATAATCTTAATGCTAAAAGATAACAAAGTCATAATCGGATGTGCAAGAACGCCACACTTAATCTCTTAACAAACAAACAAGTTATTAAATATTTTGAGACATGACTGACAGCTTCAACTTGATTCTGAGCAGGCCAAGCAGTAAACTGAAGCTGGCATGTAACAGAGGAGATGAAGAGAGGATGGTGACCCATGATTGAAGCTCAGAGTGTCAATGATCACAATTCAAGTTGGAGAAGAAGAATTATTGTGGTCAACGGGACTTCTATGCTGATTTCACTAATTTTGAGAGGCCGTAGTTAGCATATGTAATCACGCTTTAAGTCTGGTTCCATTGTAGATGATTTTACTTCCCCCCCCCCCCTCTCCTTGTAATCTAAAGATGAACCTGAATGAAATAAAAATGATGTTTCAAACCTTTTATTTTAAGGCTTGAAGTTCATGAATTTCATATGATGCTATTAAGCAATAAGGACAGAATCACTGCTTAGAACACCAAAGAAAACAACAGTGCAGAGATTTATAACACAGAAAAAAAAAATGCAGACACCTCTAATAAAATGCGACCAAAATATAGGGTTCCAAAACTATATTTTCCCAAAAAAAAAAATTAAGACAATAGATACTGATAATAATAACAACTTATTTATTGCTGAATTGTATAATTTGCATCACAACTTCTCAAGAACAGAGTTAATATATGGGTTAAGTTGCAAAAATACTTAGAATTTTTTTTTTTAGAAGTTTCTGATATTTTTAAGTTAACAATAATACTTGAATACCTATTAACTTTATAAAAGAGATTAATTTTCCCAAATTTATTAAAATAGTCTAACATTGACAGTTAGAATTTAACAGATGTAGGGAAGTTAACCTGTTTATAAAGCTAAAGAGTATCCATATACAATTGTTAATTTAAGGATACTAAAAATTCTTGGAAAAAAAATTCCTGAATATTTTTGTACTTTAATCTTTAATATATTGATGATTCAATTGCAACGTAACCATCAAAATGTAGAGCTCCAACAATCAATACAATATCAAAGAAAAAAATGATTTGATCCTTTACAATTTTCTTCCTTTTTTTAAAAGAACATTTTAGACAATTCTCATTGATAACATATTCAAGCAAAGCCATTAACTATGAGAAGGTCGATGGTTGTCATGTGTTAATGAGTTAGAGAATTTCTTTAGACAATTTTCTTCCCTTTTTTTTGTGGTTTAGGCTTAGGTTTTGCTTTTTAGTTTCTTTCTTTATTTTTCGCCTTCTCTTTTTTTTTCCTGGCTTACAAGTATTTCGCTTTCGGTTGCATTCTCTTGAATGAAGTTCAGGTTCATGTTAAAAATATGAGAGAGAGAGAGAGTGTGTGTGTCTTTTGTGCGGTCACAATGGCCCAAAAGACAACAAATGCAAATCAGTTCATAACATTGCCCAACAAAACTTGTCAATCAAAGCAGATATCGGTTCAAATCAAATGAGGCCCAAGAAGTAATTCTCGAAAATAGGGTCAATAGGTGTTTTTACAATCGCTTAAACAACAGGTGGAGCAGGTATTTGGAGTTTGGGTATGTATGAATGTAAAAAATGCCTTTTGAAAATCTGTCATTTAATAAGACTTGACAATGCTTAAATTTATTTCAATCAAATAGTCATATAAATAAATAGAGTGGAAACCATGTTGCGTCGAATATAAAACTAAACACACTCCGAATAGAAATAGTAACTGGACAGCTTGATTACCACAGTAATGAGATGGAATTAATATTTTTAAACATATAAAGATACAATATTGCCCCAATATTTTTAAAAATAATGTAATGTTGCCCTTGATAGAAAAAAAGTTGACCGTTAGTTGACTCATGTATACTTATGTGACATGGTAAAGCTTCCAGATCATTTTTCTTTTTTTTTTTAAGAAAAAAATGGAAAAGGAAATAATAGTAGTAGTAGTCATCACACCACCGCTGCATTCTTCTTCTTCTTTGAGCTGCCAACACCTATCATTTGAAATCTTGCTGATTTTATATATAGATTTTATTGTTATTGATTCTTGTTATCTTGAAACCTCTTCATTTGCTTCCTTGTGAATCTTGGGTGACAATTACAATAACCCCCCCAAGTCCGTCTCTCCATTGAATGTCCCTTTCTTATGCTTGAAAATCCTGTGCGCTGATATAGGAATAGAAAGGGAGCCATGGACCTAGATCGCTTCCTCCTCCTAGCTTTCACGACTTATCCTAAGCTTCTTCTTTTCCCCCTCACTTGTTGAGATTCGATTCACTGAGATTCCTTGTTCATGTTTCCATTTTTCAATTCCTCCTCTCATGCCTAGTGTTCCATATGTCAAGGCTTCAAAGAGGTATAAATCTTTCACTCTCCCTTCCTTGAAGCGGCAGAATGGCTTCCTTCCCTTGCTGAAGAAGCATGGAGACTCCTGATTGCTAGTGGAATACTGGCAGAACTGTGAATGCAAGTAATACTCGAAGCTCATAGTTGCTTCTTAGATCTTTGATCCGTTGAATTGATAAAAAAATTTTATTCCCATATGTGCTAGTGACATGAAGCTTGATTATATTTGCCTAATTTTTAAAATCTTTGGGATGTTTGTAAAATTATTTACTTGACAATATTACGGCCAGCGATTGGGGTTAGAACTTAGAAGTGTCGGATCGGTGGAGCGTTTAGTGGGAAAAAAAAGTTAAGGTGAATGTCATATGTATATGCCACATTAGCACAAATAATCAACTAATGGTCAATATTTTGTTTTTGTTAATTTAGAGCAACATTGCACTGCTTTAAAAAAATATCGGAGTAATATTGCATCTTTAATATTTTAAAATACTAATTAAACACCTTTGAAAAAAATTCCGAGGGCAAATTTATGCATTAATCTTAGTTTTTCTCTAAATAATTTGAAATACTAGTAGAGAGAGAGGAGGAGTTTTACAATAGTAGATCTCATTTGACATGTGAAATCTATCAAACTCTCGTTCCTTGTGTATATGTCTTTGCTACATCCTAGATAACTTTACAAAATTTTTCAATCCCCTCACGTAATGAGAGTTTCATATAGCACGTTAACATGTAAAATTATTCGATTTAATCAAACAATTATTAGATATTTTATCGTATTTAAAAAGTATTAAATTTCAAATTTTTAAGGGAGACAATGAAGAGGAGTCCAATCATAAAAGATGTTTTGAATTTTTGGAAGGACATATATTATAATAATTTTTAAGTGTTGATGAAATTCAATAATTGTAATTAGCATACTCATTTAGCGGGTGGATTTAATTTAAGCTATTCTCTGATCCAAATTTCCAGCGCTTTCAATCACAAAGATTTCCTTTCATGGTGACATATTGTTGCATTAGGGTTCTTTATGCACCGTCAATTAATTTCTGTAAGAGGACTTTTATTTTATTCTTCAAGTCCTTTAAATTAAATCACGTCCGTCCAGAATCCCACCGTCCATGTTGTCGAGTAAGTCAACTTCCCTCACAATCATTGTTTGTTTGGCAATGGTGTAGGATTTATTGCACTAGTGAATCAGCCCTTTCCAAAAATGTAGCAATCAACTAGTTTCCAATCCCTTGTCTTACGTAACTTTCCAGAATTGTTTGCATATCATTTTTTTTTATGATTTATTCCCACAAAATAAAATCTTCTTTGCATTCCTCTGTTTGTGGCCTAAGTTAATTTAGCTCTAAAAATTCATAATTATTTAAATTAATAATATGACAAAATTCATTATTATAATTTGCTTTGATAATAAACTTTAAAAATTATAACAACTGACACTAGTGTTCCGAAATTATAAATATTACAGATTACAGATGATTTTTTCTTTTCAACAATTTCTGATGTATTCAGTCCACTAGCTAGTTAAAATTCATCTATGAAATCAAAATCACTTTTAAGACCATGTGATTGTGGCCAGTTAAAATTGTAATGAGGACCCAATGTAATATTTTAGATAATAATCAATGTCATGAATATGGCCATATCAATATTTTGTGACGTCACTATCAAATACAAAATATTTATCAATTAACATAATTTTACAAGTTAATATTAATATGGCTTGTTCATTAGATTTCGTGTAATATATATGAGACCTACTTAGTAAATATATTATCATCAGTTAATTTTATTATCATCTATGTCATATATCAACATTATTAATGCAAAATATAAAATCTATAAGTCATAAGGGACGGATCGAGGAACTAATAATTAAATGGGGGATTAAATTGAAAATTAAATATGAAATGGGGGCTAAAATCTACTTTAAAGTTTTTAGAAGTAAAAACCCCATTTCCACCCCCCAATTATATTTTTGAATTAAAAGGCAAGTATTAACTGCTTGAGATTAAAAGTGATATTAAACCTACGATCTCTCATTTATATAGGAAATTGATATGTTATTAGACTATAAGATTATTAGTAATTCTCACTAAATCATTGAATTATGAGGGGCAACACACCTCCTTGCCTCTATTTGGATTTGTTTGAAGGTGATCTGTTCATATAATAATACTGTAATACTTGCACAAATAGTATAATTTAAATAATGACTCTTTAATTTGCCAAACATTTGGGCAAGATTAGTCTTTGTTGTCCGCAGAATATACTTTCTATGTTTCAAAAAAGTAATATCATTGTATCTAATTTTTTTTCTTCTTATTCTCCTAAATTCAAATTTGAAATTTTGTCTCCAAGCCAATTGGTCCTTGTGAATCGACGAATACATGCCAAATTTGAGTATGACAGAAAATGTCCTCATTATATCAGCCTATCATGGTTATTGCGATCCTTCTCTTCTCTCACTCATAGTTAACTCACAGAAGAAGTAAACACGCACAAGAGCGCACACACACACACACACACAGAGGGAGAGAGAATCATAAGAACACTAACTATGAAGTTTCCAGCATCATCTCTGCTTCGTTCTCCCTTCTCCTTGAGCTTATTTTTGTCAGCTTTCATGGGAGTAATTTACAGTACAAGTGATGATACTCTGTTCATGAACCAGAATTCAGAATCATCTCCTTTTCCCAGTAACTTCCTCTTTGGAACTGCATCTTCCTCTTACCAGGTTCATCTTCATACATTACAATTTAAAGATATATATATGAATGGAATTAAGGAGTTTGATTTGATCATCATCATTTGTATCTTGTTTTGCAGATTGAAGGAGCTTTCTTGAGTGATGGTAAGGGACTGAGTAACTGGGATGTTTTCACTCATAAACCAGGTTCTGTTTCTTCATGAACTTTCCAATATAATAAGCTTAGCTTTGAGCTTGAGGTCCTCACTCCTCACACCCAGAAAGCTAATAAGAAACTATAATGAAGGAGAGCAATATTGTTCTACTTTTTCCAGGCAACATAATGGACGGAACAAATGGAGATATTGCTGTTGATGATTATCATCGTTATCAGGTATCAATATTATACCAAGTTTCTCTTTTTCGGCAATATCAATCAATTTTAGGAGTCATAGATTCCAATGAGTACAATGTTTTATCACTTTAAAAAATACTTTTTAGTCCTTAAAACTTTTTTCAATTATTAATTTAGTTGTTTAATTTTGATTTAGAAATTTTTTAACTTGTAACAGTTTAGTCCGTATAATTTTTTTAACTTGGTGTAATTCGATACCTATAATTATTTATTTTAATAAATCATAAAAATTTGATTGTACTTAGTTAAGATTCATAAATTAAATTTGTAATTAAAAAACTTTAGAGTGTAAAAGTTATATTATCTCTTCATTCCGTGTTTAATATATAGTTTAAGGATTGCTTGATTTTTCATATCAACTTGAACATGCATGGATTTTTTTTTATTTTTTAAAACAATTTTAAATGCATTAACCAGATGTCAGAATATAGTTAAATGGAAGGGTGTGTTTGGTATGGAAGTTTGTAATTTACCATGTAGAACTTGTGGCAAACTAAAACCAAGTTATACTTTTTTCAAGAAATTACTTTTTTTTTTTGGCCAAATTTTCAAGAAATTACTTAACATTGTTTTGGGTTGGGTGAGAATTAATTATGTGTGTGGGGAAATAGCTGCAGCTATATATTGACAGTAAGATGGAAAACCTAAAACTCATGATATGTTACCTAACTCCGGGAAATTAACTATTAATGAATTTATAAAAAAAATTAAAAATTTAATTTTTTATACCAAAAAATATTTTTAAAGAAAATATCGCTTAAAAAATAATTATACCAAACATAAAATTTTTATAATCTCTAAATGGGAAAAAAATTTTCATAGGGAAATACAGTTTTAAAGTGTGAAGCTAATGAAATGGTTGTAAAATAAAAATAAAAATAACATAATGACTAAAAATATGAAAAAAAATGTGAACAGTTAAAATTAAATTTAAATTATTAGAATAAAATTATATAATGAAATGCACGCAATTAATCAAGAATCTGCACCAAAGGAAAAGCACTTATGATTTGTAATAATGATGATTTGTAAAGTGAATGAGAGGGATTGAATGGACACGGGGGCAGCCCCACCGGTTATTTTCTTCAACGACTTGTTTTGCTTTTTGTCGCCTCTGCAGGATTATTAATTAAAGTGTCCCCCAAATAATTCATTCGTAACAAATCACTACCCCTCACACATTAAGTATTTTTGACCTTTTTCATATATTACTTCTAAAAATAATTACTCGCTCATGTGACATGTCCTTATTATAAATGTATTTTAGGATTTTTTTTGTCCATAATATAAAATGAAGTGTAATATAATATTTACTTTTTTTGGGTAACAATATAAAGTGAAATATTTTCGAATAGTTGGATGCTTTTATCCCTAACCTTGTCTACCTTTAATATGTACGTAACTACATTTTAGTAGGATAAAATCATTTTTTTTACTTTTAAAAATGTGATAACATTTTCTTGATATGTGCGAAATATTGAAAATACCTAATGGCAAAGTTAGCTTAGTTTGTATTTATTTCAAACATTATTTAATCTTGAACCATACTCCTTTTTTCATTTTTATTTATAAAAAAAACTATCAATTTTAGTCTTTTTTTTATATAAGCAAAATTATATTTTTAATTGGCATTTATTGTAAAATTTTTAAATTATCCTTTATAATTTCATCATTTATATTCATAAAAAATAATTAATGAAGACTTAATTAATACAATTAATAAAAGGTATGGTAATCTAATTTTTTTATTTTTAAATATAATTAATATAATTAATTAATTTTTTTAAATGTGTGATACAGTTTTTTTTATAAATAAAAATAGAGGAAATATGTTAATGAGTTAGGTGACGTACTTTCCATGATGGATTAACTCAAAAAGAATATTCTTTTAATCACAAAGTTAACTGCATACATATTATATGAGTAATGACATATAAAACTAAAATATCTTTCACCAAGTGCATCTTTGATCCTATAATTTTATAAAAATTTTAATTTAATCCCTTAATTTTATAAAGTATCTTTTCAATTTTTAATACTAATTTTATTAGTTTTAAATGATTATTTTTTATCTCAATTATTATTATTTTTTTAAAAAATAAATTTAATATGTCAATATGTGAGAATATTTTGTCAATATTTAAAAATTTAATGTAACAATTTTTTTTTTTCATAAAAAGAAGGTGTTAGAGTTAAATGATTAAAAATGCATTATACAAATTAAAAAACTATAATAAAATTTTGTATAAAGTTAAAGATTGAAAGTGCACTTTAGCCATAGCTTTCATTTTAATATTAGTTTTTTTTTGGCACTCAAAGCTCTATGTAATAACCTAGATATTAAAATTTTAGACAAGGCACCTTTAGAGTGTAGAACCTTATTGAGAATGAACTTGACTTAATTACTGTCGTTCGTGTGATTTTCATGGCCTTTTTGATATTTCTTAAATCCCATGTATTGCATGTAGCTTCTCCATATTAGCCTACTGAATGTTCAATCTATTTAATAGATACTCCTTTATCTTTATATATAAAACATTTTTTAAAAAAATTAATTTTGTCTCTAAATATAAAGATGACCATAATATTTTTAAATAATTAGATAATTTTATTCTTGTATTAAAAATAAAATAAATTATTAATTATATATTTTTCCTACCACCCATCATAATATTAATAATGATATTATTAAGAATAAAATTAAAAAATTATTGTATTTTTATATGAGTTTAATTAAATAAAATTTTTTATTAATATATGAGATTAAATTAAAGATATTTTATATATAAAAATAGGGAGAGTATATAATCATAGATATAGATATATTGATGGATCATATTTTTGTGAAATTCTTACTTTAAACAAATGACTATATGATAGAACAGTTGAAAGTGGGGCCAACTTATTTATCCCAGTTTTTTAGGACAAGACTTTGATAATTACTTAATTGGCTCCAAAATCAAAAAAGATAGGGAGATACCGACCCCCACCTAATTGATTTTGAAAGTCTGAGCTGGTCCCCCCCTCTAAAAGTCTGTCTATGATGTAAATTTACTAGTTTGGTTGTTGTTCTCTCACTCTCTTTTTTAATTTTAAAATTGTTTTACAAATTAGTTTTTAAATTTATTTTTCAAAACAAAATAAAAAATTCATTTGTGTTATTAAAAAATAATTTTAAAATTAAAAAATTAGTCAATAATAATGGCCACGAGCTGTTAATGGCAGTGGTTTTGATAATTATTAATTAAAATAATTATAATTTTCAATAATCAAACGTAATATATTTTAAAAATAAAAAAATAAACACAGTTTGAATATATTTATTTTTTTGTTTTTAAAAGTAAAAAATGAGAACAGTTTTAAAAGTAATTAGATTAAAAAAAACTCATCTAAAGAAGTTTTTTAATTTTTTTTGTTTTTAAAAATGGAAACCCATTAACCAAACATGCCTTTAGATTTTTTCGAGGATTAGAGTTCAACTATTTCATGTGATAATGCTTTCGTTACATGATTACTAGAATTGAAGTTTGAATTATTAAATTTTAGGATATTTTTATTAGAATTTAAATTTTTTAAAGTTGAGATTGATGGATTTATAAATGTTTTTTTAAACTACATTAGCAAAACAATTAATGACATTTTTTTTTTCTAAGGTTTTCAAGCACCAAATGATTGAACTTGATGTTGAAGTTTCCATGTCACCATTTATTGTTAATGATTTCATGCACAGCCTACGCTTTACACACGGCTGTGTTCTCCTTTGTGTGTGTGTGACAGAGAGAGGGAGAGGGAGTTGAATACGCAAGCTGTAACAATCATGTGAAAGTTGATTCAATAATAAAAAGAAATAAAGTTCTTAGAATTTTTTTGAGGATTAAAGTTCGACTATTTCATGTGATAATGCCTTCCTCACATGATTACTGGGATTGAAGTTTAAATTATTAAATTTTAGGATAGTTTTATTAGGATTTAAATCCTTTGAAATTGAGAGATGAATTTACATGAAAGTTTATTTTTTTAATATTTTCGCTCATTTTATTATTTTTATAAAATATAAAATTTAAATCCTTTTTATTGTATTCTATTTTTTCTTATCTTTTGAAAAATTTTAAGGGAAAATGGAAAATAAATCTCTCTAAAATAAAAAATTTTTTTGGCATGACCTTTAAAATAAATAAACAGCAAAATAATATCATGGAATGAGATTATTACTCTAAAATTCTTAAGTATTTATTTGTTATAATTTTTTGTGAAATTACATTTGTAACCCTCTACAAGATAATGGAAAGTATAGTACTGTTAAAACCTAAACTAAAATTTTTAATAACAAATGTAAAGTTATTAATATAGAAAACATATTTATTATTGCATTGACTAAATTGATGAATTTATGATCAACTATTGTTAATACTTAAATTGAAGTTATTGATCATTAAGATGATGTTGTTAATATAAGAAGCATGCATGTTATTGCACACCCAAACTTACGATTACACTTCTTATATTAACAACTTTATTTTTGTTATTAACAATTTCAGTTTAGGGTTCAACAATTATATATTTTTTATTTTGATGAGAATTAAAAAAGTAATTTGGTAAAAAAATTTACGTCAAATTAGTCCACAGGGACTTCCAAGTATATCATTGTATTTATTTATTATCTATCTATTTCAATGTGATTTATTTTTCATTCTTCTAAATTTCAATTTGGACTTTATATAATTTATATGCTATACTTGAATTTACAAATTTTATAATGTAACAATTTTTTTTAAAAAAAATACACATGGATTTATGAGTCAACCCTAAACCAATTCAGGTGGGGGAAAAAAAACCCTATGCCAATATAATACGGGCAAGGCTTCATCAATATATTAATCTTATTATATGGTCTTTGTAACCATTTCATACAAATTAATTAGTAAGAAATTTAGTTAAAGTTAGACAGCGTTATTAAAAATTAATGATTTAAACCATTTGTAAAGGTGCGTGATGATAACAATCACAGTGTCCTTCTAAAAATCATATTATAATAATAAGGGGACAGTAATAAATACTATTTGTCTGTTATGCTTATATGTTATTCATGAAGGCTTTGGTCCAAAAAAAAAAAAAAACTCATGCAGACTGATTGCTAATCCCTGTTTTTTCTGTTGAATTTGCCTTGGTGGTGGACAAGCAGGAGGATGTGGATCTTATGGAGTACATTGGAGTAAACAGTTATCGCTTTTCACTGTCATGGGCCAGAATTTTACCCAGCAAGTTTTCCATTTTCTTCACATCTAATTTACCAACCTATTTAACTAAATCTCAATTTTTACTTAAAGAAAAAAAAATCTTTTTACATGCATTTCAACTAATGATTCTTACTCTCTTTCCAGAGGGAAGATTTGGCAAGGTGAACAAAGAAGGCCTTGATTATTATGATCGCCTCATCAATGCCATTCTTAGAAAAGGTATTCGTCATGCATAGATTCAACTAAGAAAGGATGAACAAACCCACCTAATAGGATTGTGGATCCACTAGATAAGTGTGGCGGGCCATCATGTGGGTTTGGTAGATAAAATAACCATAGCATTAAAAATTATATCAACCTGACCAATTGAATCAACAAATAATTGAATCTGTACTTTAATTATGTCAATAAAATATTTTATTTATGACTAGTCTAAACACGATTTTGATCATTAGTCCTTGAACAGGTTAATGAATGGTTCGATTTTCAATACTTTAAAATAATGTGTGGTTGTATGCAGGAATAGAGCCGCTTGTGACATTAACACACTTTGACATACCTCAGGAGCTTGAAGACATATACAAAGGATGGCTGAGTCCTAAAATAGAGTGAGATAAAAGCTTCTCATAGTACCCTGCTAATGCTAAACTTGGAACATTATAAAGAAGATTAAGGATGTGCGTGTGTGTGTGTTGGTGGTTGAATGATAGGGAGGAATTCAAGTACTATGCAGAAACATGCTTTAAGAAGTTTGGGGACAGAGTGAAGAAGTGGGTAACGTTGAACGAGCCGAACGTGGCAGTGATAAATGGATACAGAAGAGGGATTTGGCCTCCTTCAAGTTGCTCTGCGTCCTTTGGCAATTGCAGCCATGGCGATTCTGAGAAGGACCCTTTTCTTGCTGCCCACAACCTTATCTTGTCCCATGTCTCTGTTGTTCACCTTTACAGATCCAAGTATCAGGTAATTACTTTGGAATCTGATTTGGACCGTTCTCAATTATTCATGTCCTTTAAAATAAAAAAGCCACATAATTAAAACATGATATATGGATATGTCTAGCCAGCTGTTATAGGTTAGATCAATTGCAATTGTGTAAGCTAAACATATCAAAGACATTCTTAAGGTACATGTGAGGTTGACGTTAATAATAATAACCTCACATAGCAAGGGTTTATATTAATTTGAATAGGAGGTAGTAATTTTTCCAAGTTTTTAGGGATAGTAGGCAATGGAATCAAAAAATAACTAGATCAGTTAAAGTGAACTTGAGCTAGAAAGAAAAAAAAAAAATATATATATATATATATATATAAATGCATAAAGTTATGCTTCACTTTCTAATTATCTTTAGATAATGTATTGAGAAAATTGTACATGGGAACTGAATAGGTGAAATATTTAAATGGAAGGACTAAATTAAGCATCAAAAGTTCTAAAAGGCACATTCGCTAATCTACAATAATTGAGTTTTAAGAATTATCAATACATATTCTTGAAGATCTCTTAAAACTCAATTGCAAAGTTTAGAATCTTCAAGAAATTTCAAGGTATAGTCATTATTTCATATTCATTTGATTCTTGCCAAAATTTTACCATTGTATGGATCCAAATCTTTTCCTCCCTCCCTTTATCATCACTTTTTCTTGCATAATGAGAAACAACATGTGAATCATTAATTTAACTGTTAGTGAAATAAATCTGGTTGAACTTCAAGTAATCTACAGTTAAATGTCTACAACTTGGGAGTCAAACAAAAGTTTAATTTATATTTAATAATTACTAATAAAAATAAAGACTAAAAATATGAACTGATGTAAATCTATACATACAGCTTAAGAAATGAATATAATGCAATCCAAAAAATAAATAAATAACTACATAAGTATAAATATAGTGCTCCAATTAAATGTATTGGCTGGCAACTCAGAAAAAGCAAGGAGGAAAAATTGGAATTGTGATGCATGCTATATGGTTTGAACCCTTTAGCAACTCCTCAGAAGACAAGTTAGCAGCTGAGAGAGCTCAATCATTTTTCTTGAATTGGTAAATTTCATAGCCACCATTTTTCTTAGCTCTCTGTTTTAATTAACACTCTTATATTTCTTAAGTTAAAGCAGAATTATGACTGATAATATTTAATTCTAGCTCCCGTTATGGATAAATTATTTTTTATTACCGTTAATGCATGAATAACGCAGGTTCTTGGACCCAATTATATTCGGGAAATATCCAACAGAAATGCAAGAAATTATAGGGCATGATCTGCCAAAATTTTCGAAGCAAGAAGTGGAAAAACTCAAGAAAAATGTAATAGATTTCATTGGGGTGAATCATTACACAAGCTATTATGCAAAAGATTGCATGTTTTCTGAGTGTGAGCCTGGTTTAGGAGCTTCAAAAACTGAAGGTTTTGCCCTTTATGCTCATCATAGGAATGGCATCCTCCTTGGAGGTAAGGTATGAAAAAATCTATCCCTCTTACTATGCCAATCCAAAAAGTTTACACTACAAGGCCTTGTTTGGTATATAGGTGTGAATTTAGAAAATTGGGAATGGAGTTATGATTGAAATTGGGACTAAGGTTGAGGTTTTAAAAATATATTTAATATGGAGTAATATTGGAATGAATTTTTTTCATGACCAAAACAATCATTATAACCACAAGTAATTGAAATAAGATAAGATGTTATGACGTTATAAGATAGACAGATTAAGGATAGGAAAAAAAAAAAAGGAAACACACAGAAAATATTAAAAAATTAAAATAAAAAAGAATGGATTTATGTCTTAGTCAATATTTAGAGTCAAGAAACTAATTTTTGGAAATAGAAAATGAGTTTACCAATTCATAGAGTAGAATCATAATTAAATTAAAATATAATAGATTTGTAAAAATATGGGATAAAAAGCAAGTGACTTAAGAAGTAATGCTAATAAATATTGGAGGCAATCAATACACATTATACATGCACACACACTTAAATATTTCTTTTAAAGAAAACTTTGACGCATGTAGGCCTTCTCACATATTATATCATTTTCATGTCTTATCTATACTTAAACTTTTTTTTTTTTGAAACATGTCTTATCCTAACCTAACATTTTGCAAACCAAAGTACGTAATTATTATCAGTATATGTAAATTATGCAGACTTCAGTTGATTGGCTGTATGTTCATCCACAAGGAATGGAAAAGATGGTCACATATATAAAGGAGAGGTACAATAATCTACCAATGTTCATCACAGAAAATGGTGAGTGCATTGAAATCAATCTTTTTATACAAATCATAGTCTCATCAATTAATCAAATAATAAAAAAAATTACAAATTACAAATCAATTGTTTTTGTCCCAACATTAAACACCAAAATGCGGTGGTAAATAGAGTCAATATTTCATAATTAGAAATGGGGCTCACCATTCAAGTATTATTTTTCCTATTTCCCTCTAAATGCACACTCTTGATTTATTTTATAAATTTAAATGATCCGAGCCAAAATATAATATCTGTGATGGAATTAATATCAGTTTATCATTATATATTTGTTCATATAATCATGCTTATGGGGTTCTTTTCTTAATGTGTTGTAGGATATGGAGACATGGAAGCTCCCAACTCTACCACAACAGACATAATCAATGATGTGGAAAGAGTGAGCTACTTGAGCGGTTACTTGAATTCCTTGGCCACAGCCATAAGGTATTGTTACAATTATACGTTAAATTCTTCTAGGACGTTTTCTAACAGTAAGCATGGATGTAAAATATATGATACTTCGCAAATAACTCAATAACAAAAAATTATTCTTTTCTACAAATGCCTCATTAATTGTATAAGAAAGAAATTAAGGTAATGTTTGGATGGGTGAATTTTAATTTTAATTTTAGATTTTAAATCTCACATTTAATATTCATGTATTTTAAAAACTTTGTTTGAATGGTTTAAAAAATTTTAAATGAATAAGAGAGATAAATTGGTATTCAAAATGAAAATTAAAAATTAAAAGAAATAAGTTTATCTTTATTTTTCAATTAAAGAAAGGCGAAAATGAGAAATAAGAAGAGATATGAGAGTTATAAAAATATTAATAGTGAAGATACAAAGAAAACGACCAAGTTTAAAGTAATTTAATTTCAAATGACTAGTGTATAAAAAGAATTTTAAATTATAAAAAAAATATAATTTAAATCTATAAATTTTGTGTATTCGAATGAGGGATTTGATTCAAATTCAAATCCCCATTAATCCAAACACACTATAAAAGTAATTAAGATAGATTATTAATTTTAAATGGAGAGTAACTTAGAAAGTAGTGATAATTTTTATCATTTTAATGATACACACCATTTTTTATTATAGCATTAAACATTAGGTCAACTTAGCCAACTAAACTGGTAAACCTTGAATAAGTTTTTTTGATCAATCTAATAAAATATTTTATTCATGACAAGTCTAATTATGGTTCAATTATATATAGTTTTATCAATTAATTTTTGAATAAGTGTTTTCACTAGTTGAATAGTTAATTCGATTTTCATTACTTGTTTTTAACTACTTTTCATGGCCTCTGTGAAGCAATTAAAAGCGTCATGTATTCTAGAACAAAGGAAGTATTAATAGTATATTTGTTATGATAGAGTTATTATGTAATTTTTTTTTTTTTTTTTTTGCTAATTATAATATTGAATGTGAAAATTGTGAAATTAATAAACGAGCAGGAAAGGAGCAGATGTGAGAGGGTATTTTGTGTGGTCATTGCTAGACAACTTTGAGTGGCTCTATGGATGCAGTGTAAGGTTTGGGCTTCATCATGTGGATTATAGCTCTCTCAATAGAACCACAAGACTCTCTGCATTGTGGTACAAACACTTCATTGCTCACCATCTTCCTCCCAAACCTCCAACACTTTCCATTCTTTAACTTTGACTTAATTTGCCTCCACGTTGTTCATTGTTTCAATAATGTTTGGGCCCATTGTATAACTCTTCATTGAGATCAATGGCCTTGTAACTAATTAGCTACTGTTTAATTATTGGGTTGTCAAATCTATTATCTCTAGAGTTTTAATCTTTTCTCCAATTTTATTTTTTCTCAATATGTTATTTAATTGTCATCTCATTTCATTTTACCTTTCCTCTATATATTGTTACTCAGTAGTGGAGGGTCATGACCTTTTAAATTTCAATTTTTTTAATATTATATATGCTTTTTAAATCTCGACCTCTCATATCTAAACTTAGTTATACTTTTATTGTTATTGGTTTTGTTTTTTGAATGAATTTTTACTTTTGCCTAAAGGAAAATTTTTTTTAGTTAAGTTGGTTTACTTTGTAAGTTTAGCATGAGGCAGTTAAAGTTATATTATTTTAAATTTTTAATAATTAAACTCCTTATGTTTTTGCGATAATGCACCAAAATGAGCTGCTTCTGATTTTGACTGCAACATTGATGGCCACGTGGGTGGTTTGAATTGAACTAACGAACTAGTCTTTTTTTATCATGCTACCATGTCTTCTCTCGAGGCACCAAACATTGGACTTAGAAAATAATGTGCTTAAATGTTAGGTAGAGGCCAATGAAACAGCAACAACGTAGTCTATCAAACTTGAACATAATATTCTTAGAAGAGTATTGTTATTGAAATGGAACAATAATACGTTGATTGCGGAGAATGACAGGGAAAAAGAAAAGCAGCCACCTAGTAAAGAATTTACCTTTATTCTCTTTCGTTTCTCTTATTCATATTGGAAATAATTATAAAAGATTACATATTTCTGCTCCTGATAACTTTTTAAAGTTTTAAGAAATATTTCCTTTAGTTTAATTTATTAGTCAATCTTGTTGGAAAAAAAATTATAAGTCAATCTTAAGATGTTTCACTGAAAATAAAAAAATAAATTCAAAACTTTTGAACTTTGTTTGAAAATTTATTAAGTTTTTAATTTTGACCTTATTAAATATTTTCTGTTAAAAAAAAACGTAAGACATTTGTTGAGAGTTGAATATTTAAAAATATAAATTTTTTTAGTATTTTAAGATATAATCATTATATTTTTTAAAAGTATCTCTATTAACTAATCACTTTATATTTATTTATTTTAAAGTGAAATATTTAATTACGTAAAAATAAATATAAAAAGATAGTATTATTTTAAAAACAAGTAAATAGTGGATGAGATTTGATTAAAAATATTTTATATTTTTAAATGGAGAAAATATGTTTTAACAACATACACTCCTGATTTTTAATATAAGATGAATTTAACCAACTTTTTTATTAAGAAATAATATGTATATATTTAAAATTATTAAAAAATGTGTCACTTTTTAATGTTGTCTTTATTTTATAATTAATATTAGTTTATAATAAATTATTGTATAGACATTCAAATTATAATAAATAATTGAGGAATAAAATTGAAAAAAAAAATTTAATTTTGCTTCATGTTAAGGATAGAAAAATAATTTAAAGTTTGTCTTGGATTGGGAGAAGAAACACTTTCTTTTATCAATATTTAATAAAGATAAATGAAAAAATTTATAATAAAAATTTAATAATATAAATTATAAATTAAATAAAAAATATTTTTTAAATCGTATAAATAGAATTAGAGTAGTACTTGTTATTAAAAAAAAAAAACTGAAGTAGTAAAACGACGGTAGCCGGAGGCATCGAATAAACGACAATGCGTATCAGGAAACCAACTGGCCAGACAAATCTTCCGGCTCTGGCAGCACAAAAGTCCACGGTTCCGCTGAGATAGCATTCCTGATTTGGGGAGGAACGCAAAACTGTTAAATTAAATTTAATAATGTAAATTTAATGATTTTTAAAACATATAAATTTAATTTGAACAAATTTGCAGAAAAAGTAATGGAAATAAATCGCCCCTCGTTCCAGTTTCAGTACCAGTTTCCAGGTCTTCAGCTTTCTCTTCAAAAAGCTTCAACCCATTTTCTTTTCCAGTTGATTTCTTCTGGAACCTAGTCCTAATGTTTCCAACTCGATAACGATGACTTGGGCATTGGGCTGGAAGAGGCCCTCCGAGGTTTTCCATCTTGCGCTCAGCTATGGCTCTGAGAATCCCGCGAAATGCATTGACCGCACGTCGATGTCATCGCGTCCGTCCTCTTCTTCGTCCATATCATATTCCACTCCCTCCATTCTCTCGCAAAAACAGGACATTGGTTTTCGAATTGAACTGGACTGGTCTGCGGCAGAGAATGAGGACCAGGTCGCTTTAAAGCTTCAATCGCAGCTCATGGTGGCTCTGCCCATGCCGCAGGACTGCGTGCTAGTAGCATTAAGGCCTGAAGGTATTGAGCGTGTGGCATTGGATATGAAAGTAATCAGGCGAAGAGACCCTTTGAGGGCTATAACAATGACTAAGACTGTTAACACTGGGCAACAGACCGATGGCACTGGGGTTTTGACGCGCTTATTGAGTTCAAATTTGGCTTCCTTAATGCCGGCTGTTGAAGAAGGGGTCCATGGTTGTGGTGATCATTGGAAGAGTGTATCTGTGCTCAGTATTTGTGGCTGTAGCTTGCCGGTGAGTGGTACTGGCTTATGAGAGTTTTTTTAGTTTTAGACGTTCATTTATGCGACCTGCTTGCTTGATCCATTTTACGTAAGTAATGTTAAGAGATGAACAATTTTTCCGTGCTTAAATTTTACGCTTGAAGTTGTGGAAAGATAGCAGCACCATTTGCAATGTGCCGGAGGAAAAAATTGTCTTTTTTCAAGGCATCAAAGACCTGAATACTTTCGTTTTCTCTTTGTTTTGAATAAACAAATTAAGAGTTTACTTGGTGGAGGATAGCGTGAATAAGCTCAGGCTAGTTAATTCTGTATGCCTGCTGATTGTTTGGGTGATATCAGGGGTGATTTCCAGAAGTGCTGTAATTTGATACTGGTGTTCGCCCCTTTGCTAATATACTTCTGGAGTAAAATATCTAAGATTAATATTGAGCAGTTATGTTGTTTGAATCTATCCACCTAGTGCTAAAGAAGCATCTTGATTCCTGCTATTTAGCTGTAGGTCAGACATGATTGAGTTGAATCAGGCATATCTTTAGATGTCTGAGATGCATGCAGGTATTCCCTGTTGAGCTGACTCAGTTGCCACATCTTGAAAAGCTTTACCTCCATAACAACAAGCTGTTGGTTTTGCCACCTGAGCTTGGTGAGCTGAGAAGCTTAAAAGTGCTTAGAGTTGACAATAACATGCTTTCGTCAGTGCCTGGTAAGACTTTGTCTCTGGATTTCAATCTTGAAAGTATATTATTCGAATTTTTAGGTCTGGTAACTAAACTGTTTAATGCCTAGGATGTGAGTATAGTGCTTGCGGTGTATGTATTAGATAACAAATGTAATTAGTAGCATTGAATTCCTTACCTTGTACTATTGTTCTATAAACAATATTACTTGTATGTCAAAACTCACTGGTTGCATTTCCCATGAAAGTTTTTCTCTTCTGCCTGCCGTTCTTTTTCCTTTTCCATTGACTGTGCCATCATTCAAGTCACTTTCTGTGCATAATCATTGACCAAATCACCTTTGGAATTGCCTTAAACAATGTTGGTTTGCATATCCTCAGAGCTCCATTGGTGGTCAAACTGTCATATTAGAATCTCTATATTGTCATCCATGACCTGGCACATAACACCTCCTTTCTAGCTTTCATCCACCTAGATCTAGTTTCCTTTCACAATAAACTCTAGCACAAACCTTCTTCCTTCCTATTTGGTTATTGTTTGAGGTGTTCCTCCTGTTAGTTGTTTTTCAATCATGTTCAGGGCCATGCTCAGTCCAAACCTCCATAGATGCTCTTTCTGTGCATGTTGCCAGTCGCTACTGCTTATGTTGCACAAAATGGAAATGTTTTACTATTTTACTCATTCATCTCTTAGATCTTGGGTCCTTGTGATATGTAGGAGAAGAAAAAGAGATAGAGATGAGAGAGAAGAAGAAGAAGAGGGAATAGGAGAACCTGAATAGTACTTTCTGAATTAATTCTCAAAACCTAGCCTCAGATTGATACCTTGACTCACTTATATAGTTCTAGCATTTACCTGACCCTGCTTATCATCTAACAGTCCCTTAACCTCTAACTAACAAACTAACTTTATTTAATTACAAATTACACATCAGTATTTCTCTTAATCTCCCTCTCATTTCTTATAACTTGTAGAAGTTATTGTAATTTTTATCCTTTATTAAGTGAATTGAGCATACACATCATCACAAACTTGCCCCAAACAAGCATGCTCATTTGTCTGATGCTTGTGGTATTTTGAGCAGTGGAACTGAAACAGTGTGATCGGTTGGTTGAATTGTCATTAGAGCAAAACAAGCTCGTTCGGCCTCTTCTTGACTTGAGGTTATTCTATCAGACGATATCATATCGAATTATTTAGAATCTGGGTATTCTTCTCTTCTTATTGTTAGTTTATATCAATGACAGGGCTATGACTGAATTGCGGGTTCTTAGGTTATTTGGAAATCCTCTTGAGTTTCTGCCAGAAATTTTGCCTCTCCACAAACTTCGTCACCTTTCTCTTGCAAATGTTAGGATTGTAGCAGATGAAAATTTAAGATCAGTGAATGTGCAGATAGAGGTAGCCTTGAACAAAGTAACATAAGTTCTTTTTGGCTCTAGTCTTTTGAGGCATAGCCATTACTCAGTCGAATATGTTTTCTATTGTTATTGCAGATGGAAAACAGTTCGTATTTTGTTGCATCTAGGCATAAGCTGAGTGCCTTCTTCTCTCTCATATTCCGCTTTTCTTTCTGTCATCATCCATTACTAGCTTCTGCACTTGCAAAAATAATGCGAGACCAAGGAAATAGAGCAGTTGTTGGTAAAGATGAGAATGCAGTGCGACAGCTTATAAGTATGATTAGTAGTGACAACCAACATGTGGTATGTTTTGTAGACATCATAACATTCATATATATTCTTATACCTTTATTATTTGTAATGGTGCTTATATATTACAGGTTGAACGTGCCTGCTCTGCTCTTTCTGCTCTCACCTTTGATGCTTCTGTTGCTCTGCAGCTGG